CCCCAAAACCCCAAAACCCCAAAACCCCGGGTTGGATAGGTTGTATTGGAACAGAAAGTTCTATTTTATTAATTCCAGGCAATTCTTGGTATTTCTAGCTAGGCTTATTCAGTAACTTCCTCACTCAGCCACGGGTGATCCACCAGATCGCTTGCTGTAGGTCTTTCAGTTGGATCCTTAGTCAACATCATTTGGATAATGTCGTTAAGTTCATCACTGTAGTTCTCTAATTTTGGAACATCGTTCTTTTGAGCATTAAGTTGGATCTCAAGCTCACTCTGAGCGTAGAATGGAACTATTTGAGACAAGAAAGTGTAGAGAGTTACACCAACAGACCAAATGTCTGTAGGAAGGATCAGGAAGCCGTTCTCATCTGGAACATGAGTCTCTGGAGCTGTGAAAGCAACAGTTCCTTCTCAGTTATATCCCCTTGCTTCATGATCTGGTCAATGAGTGCTAACACTGAAATCACTAATTTTAGCCTTGCCATCCTTGCTATTTATAATGATATTGTCGGGTTTAATATCTCTATGGGCAACGCAGCTGGCGTGGAGGTACTCAAGTCCTTTGAGAACATCTCTGAAGATGACTTTGGCAACCTCTTCGATCTTTTGGTCTTCACTCTCAAATTCCTTTCCTTTGAGATGTTGTTCTGTGATAAATGTGACGATTTTCTCATTCCTGTAATAAGTCTCTACTTTGAAATCCCACTTGGATATCTGACCAAGATCACAGAATTCAAGAATAAGGTACAGATAGTCATGCCCTTCAGCCTCGATCATCTCATAAAGTCTGACAATGTTGGAGTGTGAGGGAAGTAAGGAATGGATTTCAATTTCTCAGTAAACTTTCTCAAGGAAATTGGACATCTCGAATTCTCCATCGTGCCCATAAATCGCTCATCTCTCTCTAATGAGGGTCGGCTTGTGCATCATTTTCATTGCGTAGTCTTCCTCGAAAATCTCATCTCCTTCTTTGAATTCTCTGAGGACATGCTTGACCTTGCTGTATGCACCCTTTCCGATAGTCTCAAGGATCTTAAATTCATTGATCCTCTTCTCTTCTTTAGTCACATTTATCTGAATCTCTGAAGTGAAAAAGATCTCTCAGGAGGGATCTATATGAGTTAATGGTTAAGCAACAGTTCTCTTGTCAATATTGAACCAAAGCTTATCAAAGCCGATGAGTTAGGAAATTACTCAGGCTGAAAATATGTAAAAGCATACCAAAATCCTCTCCTTCCTGGCCTTCCCTATCATACTGTTTTGCTTCCTCACGATTTGTACTTGTCTTTGGCCTGGCTCTACTCTTGACATCAGAAAGAGCAGTCGAGGGGTAAGCGCCTGAAGACTTCCTTACTCTTTGCGGGAGATGAGAAGTTTGCTCTTCAGAAGGCTTTGTCTCGTCACCTGTGGTCTAGATTCTAAGCTGGTCAAAAATTACCTCCATATTTTCAATTTTTATTATCTTTTGGGGTTTTGGGGTTTTGGGGTTTTGGGGTTTTGGGG